AGGGGCCAACCAGTTCCTCTGGAGGGCCAACAACAGGGCAGAGAGGCCGAGGCCTTCCCCTGATAAGAACAACAGAAGAGCCCTGCTGGATCAGACCAGTGAGGGTCCATCTAGTCCAGCCTCCTGTCTCACCCAGGGGCCAACTAGTTCCTCTGGAGGGCCAACAACAGGGCAGGGAGGCCGAGGCCTTCCCCTGATAAGAACCTCAGGAGATCCCTGCTGGATCGGACCAGCAAGGGTCCATTTAGTCCAGCACCTTGTCTCAAAAGAGTGGCTAACCAGGTTAGGAAAAGGCCTGAAAGTGAGCGCTGGATCGGACCAGTGAGGGTCCATCTAGAAAGTGAGAAGGAAATTCCATCAGGCGTGCCAGCAGGTCAGCAAGCAACCTGAGAGGGTATGTGAGTAGCAGGTGGATCAGGCAGGGAGGCCTCTCTGCACTGCGCCGAGAAGTCGTGTGACACGATTGTGTGACACGATCGTTCGACCTGTGTCACACGACTCCTCGGCAACTGTCTGCCTGATCCGCCCGCTCCTCATCCGGCCACTGGGCTCACTCGCTGCCCTACCGGTGCTCCCGATGAAGCTTCCTGGTATCCTCCTGGCTTTTGGGGTGGGGGTGGAGAAGCGTGGGGCGGGTGCAGGGGTTCAGGGGTGGTGGAGAATGAGGCAGGTTGGAGAGCAAGGCAGTCAAGTACAGCCGGCTGCCAGTGCTCCCGGACGAGCTGGCCTTTAGGTGGAGAGACATGGGGCAGGGGCGGTGGGGCATGGCGCGAGATTAAGGGGGCGTGGCCCCCAAATGCCCCACCATTGCTACAGGCCTGGATCTTGGAAGCTAAGCATTGTCAGCCCTGGCTAGTATTTGAGAGACCTCCAAGGAATACCAGGGGCATGACGCGGACTCAGGCAAAGGCAAACCACCTCTGAACTTCTCTTTCCTTGACTTGACAGCCGTGACTTGACAGCACTTTCCATCAGAACCAGGGTATCTGAACCTGTTCCGTTCTAACAACTACACCTCTTTGGGCAGATCTCTTCTTCCCGGGTCCTTCTCTTGCTGAGATTAAAGCCCTAAACCTCTCGAACCTCTTTGTCCCACAGGGAATGAAATATTTACAACGCCAGGGTATTCTCCACGGACGCCTGAAGTCTCGGAACTGTCTGGTGGACGGCCGGTTTGTGCTGAAGATCACCGATTACGGTTACAGTGAATTTTTGGCAGCCCAACAGCCCTTAAATATTCAGCCACCAGCTGAAGGTACGAATGTAAAGGTCTGGCTCCTACTCAAGAGCGGGAAAAGTGGATGAAAAGAATTCTTTTCTCCTTACGGCAGAACAATTCTCGCTCGCTCGCTCTGTTTATCCCTGTTATCGAAAGGACAGAAAGGACAACAACAGCTTTAGTTTCTGGTGGAAGCTCGGGACTCGTAGTACATGTGATGTTGGAGTTCCTTAATTTCAACTCCAGATGTATAATCTGGCACCCGGAAACGGCTATGGGAGGGGAATATGGGTCATGGCTGCAGCAGTGGAGAATGATGGCTCAGCTCTTCCCTCTGCATAGTTTCCCTGCATAAGTTCCAGCACACTTTAAGCCCCAATAGGAGAAAAAAGACAGGCCATATTGTGCCTGTCTTCTTCCCCGAGTAGGGCATAAACAGTATTCTCTGCCTCAGCATCACCAGAAACGATATACAATTTCATATAATGTAATATATTTTGGGGCAGGAACGCACAGGAACGGAGTTCCGGCTGACTCCTGAGTTGGCCACGCCCAGCAGGAACTCATTAGCATAATAGGCCATACCCAATAGCAGAAACTCATTAGGATTGGCTACGTTAGGGGTGTGTGGCCTAACATGCAAAGGAGTTCCTGCTACAAAAAAAAAAGCCCTGGGTTTTGACAACAAACAAGGTAAACAGAATAAGAAGGGAAAGGTGGGTGTGGCTGGATGAGCACACTTCTGGTAACATGGGGGTGTGGCCTAATATGCTAATGAGCGATGCTGTCAAGGTGTGGCCTATTATGCTCATGAGTTTTGCTGTTGGGTGTGGCCTATTATGCTAATGAGTTCCTGCTGGGCTTTTTCTACAAAAAGAGCCCTGCATATAATATAATATATCATGTAATATATTACATAGAGTGTAATATAATACACAGTTTGAGTGCAGTGGCATCTTTAAAGCCAACAAAGTTTTATTCAAGGCATGAGCTTTCGTGTGCAGGCACACTTCCTCAGATACAACGAAATGGAATTGACCAGTCCATACATATAGACAAAGGTTGAGCAGCGAATTAACATATTTATTTATTTATTTGACTTATATCCTGCCATCCCTGCAAAGCAGTCTCCGGGCGGCTTACAAAACTGTATAAAACGCTAAAACAAGAGGATTAATAAAATCACAACAATACAATCCTCAATATAATAAATTATAAAGTATAACATAATGAAGATGTTTTAACAGATGCAAACAGGAATAACAAGTTAAGTTTATACGGTCACCACCAGGCTTGTGAGGAGGCAGACGGAACACAGCAGCATGGTCTCAGTTAGTTACTCTTAGCATCCCACAATTAGGAAGGGTACATTTACACATCAGTCTCCAATTCTGAGATATTTGTTTGCTTCACTGTGTTTCCTCCCGGAATTAAATCCAAACAAATGGTGACCATATAAACTCAGTTTGTTATTCCTGTTTAACTCTGTTAAAACATCTTCATTGTGTTGTATGCCAATTTTCTGTTCACACTCTAAGCCAGGGGTGTCGAACTCATTTGTTATGAGGGCCGGATCTGACATAAATGAGACCTTGTTGGGCCGGGCCGTATGTATCATAGAATGGAATGCCAGGTAGCGGAGATATAAACTTTATAAAGGACACAAACACAAAGCGTGTTTTTTCTACTTGAAATAAAAACATGCTTAAAACATTAGCGCTCTTGCAATATTTTGTTTATTTAACAGTGTCTGATAACTGACACCTCTTGCTCTGAACTACTGCGTTGTAATGTCTGTGCTGTTGCAAACTTGAGTATGCGGTTCAGGTGTGTATCTATAAGCTGCAAACCTACGATGATGCAGCAGCAGCAGAATTGGAAGAAGAAGCAGAAGACAGCCAGTTCCACTGCGGGCCTGATAGAAGCCCTCTGGGGGCCTGATCCGGCCCCTGGGGCCACATGTTTGACACCCCTGCTCTAAACTATATTATGGACTGGCAACTTCCATTTCAGTGTATCTGAGGAAGTGTGCCTACACATGAAAGCTCATACCTTGAATAAAACTTTGTTGGTCTTAAAGGTGTTTAATTGGAGGGAGTCATGGTAATAGTACGAACCTTTTTGAAACATGCAGTATAGATCCGTGTGATGCCAGGGAATCATTTGTCTCTTCGATTCTGCCTATAGGCTCAAAGGGGAACAGAAAGGAATCCTTCTGCATAGATATTAATAAACCTTTCTCTCTCTTTCCTCCTCCAGAATTGCTCTGGACAGCTCCGGAGCTGTTGAGAGATCCGGGAATGTTCCCAAAAGGCACCTTAAAAGCAGACGTGTACAGCTTTGCCATTGTTGTGCAAGAAGTTGTCCTGCGGGGCCCTCCGTATTGCACCTCACAGGTCTCAGCAGAAGGTGAGCACTTGGACTATGGCAGGTTCTTCAGCCCATGCCTACGGGTGTCAAGAATACAACCAGACAGGAGACGACAAGGGTCTCCAACATGGTGCCCCCGGGGCACCATGGCACCTGCTGACACATTTCCTGCCTCCCACCAAGTGTTTATGAAAAGTGGGAGGGGCCATGTGAGGCTCCGCCCAGCTAGGCTTCTGACTGGCCATTGGAGATTTGATTGGCTGTGCAGATTGTTTAAGATGTAGCTTTGGCAACAGTTGCCACCGCAGCACGGGGATTTCTCCTGTGTGAATGAAGGTAGGCTGTGGCAGCCGTGTTGTCGCTGCCTCCAACTCCTGCGGCAGCCAGGGCTCTTTTTGTAGCAGGAACTCCTTTGCATATTAGGCGACACACACCCTAATGTAGCCAATCCTCCAAGAGCTTACAGAGCTCTTCTTACAGGGGATACTGTAAGCTCTTGGAGGATTGGCTACATTAGGGGTGTGTCGCCCAGGGCTCTTTTCATAGCAGGGACTCCTTTGCATATGAGGCGACACCCCCCCTAATGTAGCCAATCCTCCAAGAGCTTACAGTATCCCCTGTAAGAAGAGCTCTGTAAGCTCTTGGGGGATTGGCTACAATAGGGGTGTGTCGCCTAATATGCAAAGGAGTTCCTGCTACGAAAAGAGCTCTGCCACCAGCAGCCATTTTGTGGCTGCGCCCACTAAACTGTGTAGGGTGGCCAGATCCGGGTTGGGAAATACATGGAGATTTTAGGGGTAGAGCCTATGGAAGGTGGGGTTTGGGGAGGGGAAGGGATTTCAGTGTGGTATAATGCCATCGATTCCACCTTCCAAAGCAGCCATTGTCTCCAGGGGAACCGATCTCTGTCACCGGGAGATCAGTTGTAATAGCAGGAGATCTCCAGTCAGTTTGTTGTAGTGGTTAAGTGCACGGACCCTAATCTGGGAGAACCAGGTTAGATTCCCCACTCCTCCACATGCAGCTGCCGGTGTGACCTTGGGTGAGTTACAAGTTCTTTCAGAGCTGTCCTTGGTAAAGAGCAGTTTCTGTCAAGAGCTCTCTCAGCCCCACCTGCCTCACAGGGTGTCTGCTGTGGGGAGGAGAAGGGAGAGGAGATTGTGAGCCGCTCTGAGACTCTGAAGGGCGGGGTATAAATCAAATCTCCTCCTCCTCTTCTTCTTCTTCTTGCTAGCCGTACAACATTTGGGTAGCACATTGGAGAACACCTCAGAAAGTGGTTGATGTCAGCAAACCTACCCTTCTCCTTCTCGTTCCCCTTCCCTTTCTCTCCCTCCTCCTCCTCTTCCTCCTCCTGGGGGTTGGCGCCCCAATATGGTGTCAGAATTCCAAAGGTGCCCGCAGACTCAAAAAGGTGGGGGACGGCTGCCATGCAACAACTGATAAGCGATGCAGTTGGGCTGGGATTGCAGAATTAGATAAGAGAACGGTGCAAACAAGGAACTGTCTGAGGCAAGGCTCCCTCTAAGCTGCGGAGTCTTGTGAGCAAAAATTCTGCTTTGCGAGCTACTGGCATTAAAAGTCGTGAGCGAGCGATTTGGCTGCTGCGTAAATTACTTTGCTCTGGAGCCATCCTTCCTGAGCTAAGACAAAAATGTGTGAGCTGGAGGCTAAAAAACTGTGAGCTAGCTCACACTCACTCAGCTTAGAGGGAACACTGGTCTGAGGTAAGGCATACTATATTTACGAAGATAAGAACATGAGAGAAGCCAATGTTGGATCAGGCCAACAGCCCATCCAGTCCAACACTCTGTGTCACACAGTGGCCAAAAACACCAGGTGCCATCAGGAGGTCCAGCAGTGAGGCCAGGACACCAGAAACCCTCCCACTGTCCCCCCCCAAGCACCAAGAATACAGAGCCCCACTTGCCCCAGATTGAGAGTGTCTATATATACCTGGTGGCTGAGAGCCACTGAAGGACTTCCTGATTTATTCCAGAAATTCTACGCAAGCTGAAGAAATCTCCGCCCTTGTTCCGTCCCAATGTTCCTCTGGATAGCGCCCCTTTGGAGTGTATCCAGCTGATGAAGCAGTGCTGGGCGGAAGTGCCGGACAGGAGGCCCTCATTCGATGAGATTTTTGAACAGGTCAGTCCGCTTCATGGCCCATCCTGAGCCAAATGGGAGGTTTCTGTTTTCTTCGAAGAGGTGGTGCGGCAGTTAGGGATGCGCATTCGGATCTGCCTGAGCAGAAAGTATACCTGAAAAAATACCTCTTTTTCCCCCCGCCCCCACCCAGTTTAAAACCATCAACAAAGGCAAGAAGACCAACATCGTTGACTCCATGTTGAGGATGCTGGAAGAGTATTCAAGCAACCTGGAAGATTTAATCCGGGAAAGGACCGAGGAGCTGGAGATCGAGAAGCTGAAGACGGAGAAACTGCTGACCCAAATGCTTCCCCCGTAGGCTCAGTGCTCAAGACAACCACCAGTGGAAGCTCAATGGGGGCGGGGGGTGGGGGAGGGCTGAGAGTCCCCCCTTCTTTCCCCACCTCTCTCTCCTGCCCCCACTCAGGAGCCAGAGTAGCTTATGCTTCTTCCCTCCTTGCCTTCTCTGTCTTCCTCCCTTCCTCCCTTCCCCTCCCTCCCTCCCTCCCTTCCTTCCTTGTAGAAACAGACCCTTCCTTCCTTCCTTCCTTCCTTCCTTCCTTACTTCCTTCCTTCCTTCCTTCCTTCCTTCCTTCCTTCCTTCCTTCCTTCCCTCCCACACTCCCTCCCTCCCTCCCTTCCTATATCCTGCCCTCGTCCGTTCCTCCCATCCTTCCTCCCTTCCTTCCTTCCTCCCTTCCTTCCTTCCTTCCTTCCTTCCTTCCTTCCTTCCTTCCAGAAAGAGACCTTTCCTTCCTTCCCTCCCTCCCTCCCTTCCTATATCCTGCCCTCCCCACATTGTAAGCTCAGGGCGGGTGAAGCACAAAATTGCAAACTGCATGCCCAGGAGAGCTTCCCGAATTCTCGCTTTTCGTGAGAGTTCGGGAGCTTGGTTCGGCATGTGAGGTTCAGTGTAATATCGGTTCAAGATACCTTCAAGAAGGGGAATGGATAACCATCTTCCTCCTTGTTCCTTAGGGATCTCGAAGCACAGCTTGGCAAACTGCATGTGCAACAGAGCTTCCTGAAATCTCACCTTTGGCAAAAGGTTGGGAATCCCTATAGGAAGTTTGCAGCTTACTGTGCTGTGTTTCAAGAGGCCTACAAGACAAGGAGTGGCTGTCTGTCTTCTTTCTCATCACTTCTTGCCAGATCTTTTAACTGGAGATGCTGGGGATTGAACCTGGGACCTTCTGCATGCCATCTTCTTCTTCTTCTTCTTCTTCTTCTTCTTCTTCTTCTTCTTCTTCTTCTTCTTCTTCTTCTTCTTCTTCTTCTTCTTCTATCACTGAGCCACAGCCCTTCCCCAAATCATGGTTCCACAAACTCATCACTGTTCAAAGAAGCCATGGTCTCACATGATCTCTGAACCGAGCCAGATAGCATGAGCACCAACATGGTGAAGACATCACAAGCAATTCTCCTCTCAAGTCCCCCTCGCTTGGCTTTTCCCTGCCATTTTAGGTCGGTGGCGGAAACCCTGAAAACCGGAGCGACCGTCGAACCCGAGTACTTTGATGAAGTCACCAATCATGGTTTCACAACTCATCACTGTTCAAAGAAGCCATGGTCTCACATGATCTCTGAACCGAGCCAGATAGCGTGAGTACCAACATGGTGAAGTCGTCATGGGCAGTTCTCCTCTCAAGTCCCCCTCACTTGGCTTTTCCCTGCCATTTTAGGACGGTGGCGGAAACCCTGAAAACCGGAGCGACCGTCGAACCCGAGTACTTTGATGAAGTCACCATCTACTTCAGCGACATCATCGGCTTCACCACCATCTCCGCCCTCAGTGAGCCCATTGAGGTTGTGGATCTTCTGAATGACCTCTACACTCTGTTCGATGCTGTCATCAGCCATCACGATGTTTACAAGGTAAAGCTGAGGTTGGCAACCTGTAGGGCTGGAAGGGAACATGTGGAGTTGGGGGGGAACATCATTCCAGCGCAGGAGAGAAGCCAGAGATCGGTGAAAATTGGTCCTCCCTCCCTTCCAGCCACAAACTCCGCCCTCAGTGAGCCCATTGAGGTTGTGGATCTCCTGAACGACCTCTACACTCTGTTCGATGCTGTCATCAGCCATCATGATGTTTACAAGGTAAAGCTGAGGTTGGCAACCTGCAGGGCTGGAGGGGAACAAGAACATAAGAGACGCCAATGTTGGGTCAGGCCAAAGGCCGATCCAGTCCAACACTCTGTGTCACACAGTGGCCAGAAATACCAGGTGCCATCAGGAGGTCCACCAGTGGGGCCATGTGGGAACATGTGGAGTTGGGGGGGAACATCATTCCAGCACAGGAGAGAAGCCAGAGATTGGTGAAAGTTGGTCCTCCCTCCCTTCCAGCTACAAACTGAATACCCCATAAATAACTAAGAACCTTGCTCAGGTCTTGCAAACTGAGGGTCCTCATGGCTACCGTGGCTGAGTCCATCCATCTCAGGTTGGGTCTTCCTCTTTTCCTGCTGCCTCCAACTTTTCCTGGCATTATTTTCTTTTCCGGCAACTGCTGTCTTCTCCTGACGTGACCAAAGTACGATAGTCTCAGTTGAGTCATTTGAGGTTCTGGGGAGAAGTTCAGGTTTGATTTGATCTAGAACCCACCGATTTGTCATTTCGGTGGTCCACGGTGTCCATAAAGCTCTCCTCCAGCACCACATTTCCAAGGAATCCACCTTTCTTCTTCTGCAGTTTCTTCATCGCTCAACTTCTACACCCATACATAGTAGTGGGGGATACTATGCCATGAATTAACTTGATTTTTGGTCGCCAGCGACACATCCTTACATTTCAGAATCTTTTCTGGCTCCTTCATGGCTGCCCTTCCCAGTTTCAATGTCTTTCTGATGTCTTGTCTCACAAGTGAAGGGTGGGGTATAAGTCCAATCTCCTCCTCCTCCTCCTCCTCTGATTCTTCTTCTGCTTGTTCTGCTTCTGCTGCTTGTTCTGCTTCTGCTTGTACTGCTTCTGCTTCTTCTGTTTCTTTTGCTTCTGCTACTTCTGTTTCTGCTACTTCTGCTTCTTCTTTTGTTTCTTCTTCTTCTGCTTGTTCTGCATCTGCTTTTTCTGCTTCTTCTGTTTCTTCTGCTTGTTCTGCTTCTGCTTGTTCTGCTGCTTCTGCTTCTGTTTCTTCTGCTTCTGCTACTTCTGCTTCTGCTTGTTCTTTTGTTTCTTCTGCTTCTGCTACTTCTGCTTCTTCTTCTTCTTCTTCTTCTTCTGCTTCTGCTGCTGCTTCTTCTGCTTCTGCTTCTGCTATTTCTTCTTCTACTTCTTCTGTTTCTTCTGCTTCTGCTTGTTCTGCTTCTGCTTCTTCTGCTTCTTCTGCATGTTCTGCTTCTGCTTGTTCTTCTTCTGCTTGTTCTGCTTCTGCTGCTTTTGCTTATTCTGCTTCTGCTACTTCTACTTCTTCTTCTGTTTCTTCTGCTTCTGCTTGTTCTGCTTCTGCTGCTTCTGCTTATTCTGCTGCTTCTGCTTCTTCTGTTGCTTTTTTGTCTTCTTCTGCTGTTTCCTCCTCCTCCTCCTCCTCCTCCTTCATGGCTGCCCTGCCCAGTCTCAATCTCCTTCTGCTTTCTTGGTTTGTCTCCCTTTCGGTTGAGGGCGGAGCCAACCCATGCAAAATCTTGAACCATTTCAATTCCTTCACTGACAACCTGAAAGCTGCGTCCTTCCTCAGCACAAGCTAGTAGCAAAGTTGTTCATCGGTTCTCGAGCTTGGGTCCCCCTACGCTGAATGCCCCTTTGGGGGGATGCGAATCCCTTTGACTTCCAGGTGGAGACCATCGGCGATGCCTACATGGTGGCTTCAGGGCTCCCGGAACGAAACGGTCAGAGGCACGCTGCCGAGATGGCCAACATGGCCCTGGACATCCTCAGCGCGGTGGGCTCTTTTACCGTGAAGCACCTTCCTGGCGTGCCCATCAGGATTCGGATGGGACTGCACTCGGGTAAGGAAAGGACACCTTAGGGTTGCCAGCCCCCAGGTCTGGGTGGGGGTTCCCCCACTGCTGGGGGTTTCAGTCTGCCCCCACTGAGCTGGTGGGTAGGGGAAGCCCCGCCCCCGAGAGTGATCACCCGCCCAGCCACCTCTCTCCCTCCCCTCCTGCCCGATTTAAAGGGCTTCAGCTGGTTGACGGGGACCACGTGGCCCGCTGACCAGCTGGACGGCTGTTCAAATCCAGCAGGAGGGAGGGAGGGGGAGGTCACAGGCGCAGACTCCGCTCGTAAAAAGACCCTTTAAAGGGACTTTTTGGGAGCAAGGTGGGGGCCGCGGAACGCGGGGCTGTTTTCCCCCAGGAGAATCCCTGCCAGCTGTGAATCCTGTTAGGCCGAGTGCCACGTTTTTGAGAATTTGATTGGCGATTCCCTCTATTTTCTAAGAGCCTCATTTGATGAATATACTGAAGCTCTCAAATATATTATATATCAACAGACTGAAAACAATCTGGAATTATATGTTTCTTGTATTCTGTAAGACCTGAGGAAGGCAGCAGAAACGAGTCGACGCCGGTTCTCGGTGTCTTACAATTTCACTGCATCTTCGTGTCACCTAGACTTCCGTGTCAGCTTGTAACCCTATGAGGCAAATGTTGTAATGTTTGAATGAATACTTCTGGAAGTTTTGTACTTTATCTACATTGTGATTGTGAATTATAACAAATTTCTGAGTCGATTCAAGATTACGTCGTCGTTACTGTTACACGGTGCTTTAGTGTTAATATTTCCCACCTGGGGACTAGCAAGCCTACCCCCTGAATCGTAGAATCATAGAATGTGAGAGTTGGAAGGGACCTTGCAGGTCATCTAGTCCAACCCCCTGCACTCTGCAGGAGCACAGCCGAAAGATAGCCCTACAACATACCCGAAAGATGCCCGTCCAGCCTCCGCTTGGAAACGTCCAGCGGAGCATCCACCACCTCCCGAGGCAGACTGTTCCACTGCTCAACCACTCTGACAGTTAGGAAGTTTCTCCTGATATTTAGCCGGTATCGACTCTCTTGTAATTTCCACCCATTCGATCTAGTCTTGCAATCTGGAGCAAGAGAGAATAGATCTTGCTGTGTAGTGGATTTGACGCATCGAATGATGAGGAAACATAGTGATATTCGGCTCATGTTTACTAGTACACAACAACAACAATACTGGCCGGAGGCCAACGATATACAGTCTCTGTGGACCACCTACAGGTCCCATTGGAGGGTTTAAACTTCCCGCCAACGTTCCCATTGGTGACCGCTAGAGGTTTCAGGATCCTATTGTCTCTTGGGATCCAAGCTCTTGTAAAATATGCTGTCACATGGTGGCGGTCAGCAGACATAACAGATCTGCTCCATCTTCTACATGACAGCCCTTCAAATACTTGAAGACTGCAATCATGTCCCCTCTAAGCCTTCTCTTTCCCAGGCTAAACAGACCCAGCTCTTTCAGCCTTTCGTCATAAGCCTTGGATTCCAACCCTCTCACCACCCTGGTTGCCCTCTTCTGGACACGCTCGAGCTCGTCAACATCCTTCCTAGAATGTGGTACCCAGAACTGGACACAGGACTCCAGGTGAGGCCTGACCATAGCATAGGCCTGACCCTGACCGTGAAATAGATAATACTGACAGACCAATGGTCTGATTCAGTATAAGGCATCATGGATCGGCTGCATCCAAAACTCTTTTGCCAGGTGGGCAGGGGGATATCTCAGCTCCCACACCTGACTCCCCTCTTCCTCAACACACAGACATGCACGAACATACGATTCATCCCAATCAAAACATCTGAGCTGGAGATACGGAGGTGAGAGCTGGACTCCAAGTCAGTGGGGAGGGGCAGGTCTCCTCCAAGCCCCGGGGCCAAGATGGGGCTTGTTTGTCAAGACTTTGAATCTTTGGCTGGAACTGCACGCCACAGCTCCAAGTTCATAAGTCCCTCTGGAACCCTTGATGCTTATTGCAGGAGATCGGCCGACACGCTTCATTAACCTACCCAGAGCTTTTGGCAAACGGCCACGGGAGTAGAAAAACAGACTGTGCTCAAACCAGTTCCCAGGTCCGCGGAGGGAGAAGCCCTGAGCTCATCAGATATCGGAGCTCTCGGGCAAGGTCTTACGGCCGAACTTCTCGCCTCAATCTCAAACCTGGTGCTGAGGAAGGAGCTCTCAGTGCCTTCCAGGGGGTGCCTGCGTGTGAAAGCGGGGTTGCCAACTCCGCGTTGGGAAATTCCTGGAGATTTAGGCAGAGCCTGGGGAAGGCCAGAATGTTGGGGAGATCCTTGTAGTGACATGTCCACGTCACTTTGGACGTGACCCAGATGTGACATTATCATGTTGGTGAGGTCGGGACGATACTCTGGTATTTGGGCACAAAGTCTAAAGTAGAAGACAAATTTGCCACAGAGTTTTTGCCCAAATACCAGCGTGTCGCCCTGACATCACTGCCTGATAACCTCAATTCAGGCTCCCATCACTGTAACGTTGGCTGCCCCCCCTCTCAGTAAGTCCCCCCAGCCCCCACTGGTTACCAGGAGCGACCTGGCAACTCTAGAGGGAAGGTAAGAACATAAGAACCTAAGAGAAGCCAATGCTGGATCAGTGGCCCAACAGTCCAACACTCCGTGTCACAATGGCCAAAAATACCAGGTGCC